AGGAGTTTACATCTCACAGTTGTTTCTCTACTCAAAGTGATTGTAGTGTGTATCAGGAGTTTACATCTCACAGTTGTTTCTCTACTCAAAGTGATTGTAGTGTGTATCAGGAGTTTACATCTCACAGTTGTTTCTCTACTCAAAGTGATTGTAGTGTGTATCAGGAGTTTACATCTCACAGTTGTTTCTCTACCTAAAGTGAGTGTAGTGTGTATCAGGAGTTTACATCTCACAGTTGTTTCTCTACTCAAAGTGATTGTAGTGTGTATCAGGAGTTTACATCTCACAGTTGTTTCTCTACTCAAAGTGATTGTAGTGTGTATCAGGAGTTTACATCTCACAGTTGTTTCTCTACTCAAAGTGATTGTAGTGTGTATCAGGAGTTTACATCTCACAGTTGTTTCTCTACTCAAAGTGATTGTAGTGTGTATCAGGAGTTTACATCTCACAGTTGTTTCTCTACCCAAAGTGAGTGTAGTGTGTATCAGGAGTTTACATCTCACAGTTGTTTCTCTACTCAAAGTGATTGTAGTGTGTATCAGGAGTTTACATCTCACAGTTGTTTCTCTACTCAAAGTGATTGTAGTGTGTATCAGGAGTTTACATCTCACAGTTGTTTCTCTACTCAAAGTGATTGTAGTGTGTATCAGGAGTTTACATCTCACAGTTGTTTCTCTACCTAAAGTGAGTGTAGTGTGTATCAGGAGTTTACATCTCACAGTTGTTTCTCTACTCAAAGTGATTGTAGTGTGTATCAGGAGTTTACATCTCACAGTTGTTTCTCTACACCTAAAGTGTCAGGAGTTTGCATCTCACAGTTGTTTCTCTACTCAAAGTGATTGCAGTGTGTATCAGGAGTTTACATCTCACAGTTGTTTCTCTACCTAAAGTGTCAGGAGTTTGCATCTCACAGTTGTTTCTCTACTTAAATAGATTGTTGTGTGTATCAGGAGTTTATATTTCACAGTTGTTTCTCTACTCAAAAAGATTTCTCTAGCTCAGTGCCTCTCCTATGTAGCAAGATGTTCCGAACTTTCCAAACGTTCCGAATAGATCTCCCCTGATGACTTACACTTACTTCACGTAATCAGGATTTCATATCATGAATTTTTGAGGATACGCTTTGGTAATATAACGATCGACATTCTGAAGTGATTTTTATTTTGTTATAATTATTTACTTTTTTTTTTTTCGATAACAGACATGGTTACGGAGTCTGACATCGTTAGTTACAAACAAAATGTCCCGCAGGTACAATAAATGTGCCATGCCATCACCGCCAGTGTTACTCTTCTACTTAACCGTTTTAAAGCCCCATGTTTTATAGCGTTCATTTGTCTCCCCTTTTTATTGTTGTTCAGTTGTGCATTAGGCCATACTTGGTTTAACATATCTGGAGGTTGGTCGTTAAGGTTTCAAAATGGTTCCTTGATTCTTTTTGTAATTTGAATTCAATAAAACATTCATAAAAATCGAGATACGGCCGTCTCGATGTTCCAATTGCATCTGTTTTAGTAACTACATGAGTTTAAGTATATTAAAGGGAGGAAACTGTTTCCAAACCAAACAAACATGATTATTAATCCGGACGTCACGGTCAACCTGGCTCTGTGTGGAACATATTGATTTCTCTATATGGTAGTAAAGTTGATAGAACTTAAAATTACTTAACTTGAAATAACAGAATTGTACACACAAATCATTGTTAACGACCATCGTGGGTCACTAGAATTAAGGTCACGTGTCCTTTTGTCTTCTGTTTATGATACGCTGATGTGATATCGCGGACGTTGGTTAATGATAAATAAAGAAATTCCTCACTGTTCCTATTTATAGAAGTTTAATATACATCATAACGAATGCGCCCATTATAGGCTACACGTTACAACACATTAATCAAGTCCATTACCACGCATGTGGAGACACATATGAAGTGTCGTCCTCTCAGGAGGAAAGTACAGAATAAAGAGATGGTTTGCTTTCAGAGCAGTGGCAGTATAGTGGAGAATGGCGTGATTGAGCGTCAATTAATGCAGCGTTAGGATAATAAATATTTCCAGTAACTCGTAATTTGGAAGTATCATAAAATACTATGTATTTCTATAACTGAGTTAAATATCCACGTATCACACATGTGGACAATAAAACAAGCTATTTTCATAATTCAACAATTTCTAATTTGTGAAAAGAGCTAATAAATTAAATTAAGTAAAGAGCTTCCAGGGAAGGTCGCGTTCGAGAAGGATGTTTGCCGCCAGGGAATGTTGCGTTTGAGAAGGATGTTTGCCACCAGGGAGGGTCGCGTTTGAGAAGGATTATTTGTTTCAAGGAAGGGGCGAGTTTGAAAAGGATTATTTGCTTCAAGGGAAGGTTGCGTTGGGGGAGGGATTAAGTATCCCTAGAGGGTCGTGTCTGGGAAGGATGCTAGTTTCCATAGGGGTTCGCTCAGCGAGGAAGGTTGTAATCTTCTAGAAAGGGTCGCGTTTGGGAACAGTGTTTGCTTTCAAGGAGAGTTGCGATTGGAGAGGGTGTAAGCTTCTGGGGACGGTCGCTTTTAGGGAGGATGGAAGCTTTAAGGAAGCGTTGCGTTATAGTATGATGTGCATGTAGTTTGTAGGATAGCTCGTGCTGATGGAGTTTGTTTACCGTGGAATATTATTCAAGGGAGATGGTATTAGCTTATAAAGATATAGTTTTTCGTCTCAATTTGCGCGTTTTAAGCTCTCTTTCAGTACTTGGTTTAAAACGTTCTTAAATTCTCCTGTCCTGTCCATGCCTCCCCTGAATTTACTGTGTCAACTACTCCTAAAATGATCCTCTAGATTACAAACATTCATCAATCCTCATGTTTCGAATTTTCCTGGATTCTTTATAGTTCCAAACACTCGTAAATCCTAATACTTTTAACTCCCCTTAATTTCCCTGTTCTGAGCGCTCTTTAATGCCTTTGTTTATAGTTCTATTCCATACTTTACATGCTGTTCGGTTTCCTCTCACATCCCCCTCTTTGGACCCCGGAATGAGATGTGTATTGCCACGTACTACAAGATACATTTGTCAACATTACCATTAATTCTAACAAAAAAGGAAAACCGGATCCATTATGGATTCCGGAAGTTGAGAATGACTATTCGTATTCAGTGTTCTTCTACTTAAAATAAGATTGATAACCCGAACAAATCTAAAAGTCATATTTATTTGAGTATAAGATGTCGCCATAATGGTGAAATAGCAGCGCGAAATGTACGAGACAAAAGCCCGCCCAGGAAATCAATGTTTGGCGGAGAGATGCGTTTTATGTGTACAATTGTTCATGTTTAGTTTCTGAGAAATATTTCGATGTGTTCGGAATCATTGACATGCACGATCAGCATATTAAATGTGATTATAAAATATGTCAGGATGCATTGTTTATTCACACAAATGAGGGTGATATAACTTACAGCCATATTTGGACCTAAACTAATGTGTTCAGAGTAATTTTACATGTCTTAGGTGTTTAGATCGGTAAAACACGACACCCCCAATGATCATATATACGAGAAGGGTGGAAAGTGTAGGTCCAAAAATAGCTGTATCAAATTATCAGGTACCTGTGCCCTGTCGTACCTAACTGTTAGTGCTAATATACAATATTTACATGTCTCCCTTATTCAGCTTAGTAAACTCTGACTGCGTATAAATTAGCGTATACGCAGGGAAAAAGGCTCGGTCGATTGATACTTGTTTCAAATATGGCATCGTTCACGCTTCAGCGAGATAATAGTCCAGTGACAACCAATGCTTGGTTCCTTCAACATCTAGATACATATATCCGGGATACACTATGCTGACAAAGTTCTTATTCCATGGATACACATTCAAATATCTTTGGCGAAAACGTAAACAATGGCGGCTTCGCTCCGAAACATTCGACCGCGTCACTCCCTGAGCAGTGTGTCAATGAGCGTACAAGACAACAGTTGTAATGAATACAAATATTCAAAAGGCTTCTCACATTGCTTAATTTAAACTTTAAAAGCTATGAAAGGAAGACAAATAATGTTAGTCACGGTGAATTTTCTTAATTTAATCATATTTTGGTGTAGATTCACTAGGACTATTTTATCATAAAAACCCGGCTACCGTAGTTACCATCGTAGCAACTCGCTTCAACTGTTGGTTTTGCTTATTGTATCATTTAAAACAATTTTTGGATGTAAATATAAGGATTGACCTTCATTTTGACGACGTATACGGTAGTATGAAGGCAGTTGGCAACGCACATATTCTTTATGACGCGCACTATAAAATATGTTCGTTGCTAACTGCATTCATACTAGAGTATACGCCGTCAAAATGAAGGGCAGTCCTTAAATGTATCCAATACCGTTAGATACAAAGTACACAACTAACAGATGTGAATGCTTAGTCACGTGGATAAAGCAATTAATACAACTAAATCAGTTATAATCGCAATCAGGCTTCCATTCAGAGCCGGGTTGTTTTTACTATTTGTATTATCTTTGATGAAACAACTTAAATAAGCTTATCTAGTTTAGAGTTACTTCCCTTGTCAAGGTGGCATCTCTTTTAATGTTTTCTCTCCTTAGGCCTTGTTGCCCAAAAGTTGGGTTTATATATTATTTTTGCATATAGATTTTTTTTTTATTTCCATTTTGAAATATTTCCATTTCGAATTATTACAAATCCGTAAAAGCATATAATAAAGTCTATTTTGGAAGGACTTCTTGTGAGTGGTTATGTGCTATTTTAATTTGATGGTATTATTTACTTTAAGGAATTACCGACTTCATATTTTAGCTTTTTGTTATTTGAATTTCTTTGATAATTCATATCAGTAAATTTATACTCTCTATTCTCAAAGTTGCAAATAGTTTTTCTACAATAAGGTACTAAGTCATATAGGAACATCATGTTACCACTCTATGTGTGACTCTATGTGTGTACGCGATGATGAAGACCTAATCAAAGCTTAACCTATCTTATCTTATATGCAGGGATGGCTCGATTACATGCTGAAGTGGGACCCAAAGAAGTATAACAACATCGACGTTGTCCGGATACCCTACTCAGACGTGTGGAAACCCGACATATTGCTCTATAATAAGTAAGTTCCGTATACGGATATGAGGAAACCTGAACGGTTTCTCTGTAAGTAAGATTTCTATTCAGATGTAAATGAACCTGATATGTTTTAAGCATTGAACTGCTTTCAGTCTGCATTCTTTGTCAATGTAAATGCCATCAGGACAAAGACATACTTAGTGAAGCGTGCTAGCGCTTCATGTTGGATTTGATGTTGTCAATATTAGGACGTTATCACTGACATAGAAATTCTCTATACCAATATTAGGACGTTATCACTGACATAGAAATTCTCTATACCAATATTAGGACGTTATCACTAACATAGAAATTATCTATACCAATATTAGGACGTTATCACTAACATAGAAATTATCTATACCAATATTAGGACGTTATCACTAACATAGAAATTCTCTATACCAATACTAGGATGTTATCACTAACATAGAAATTCTCTATCCCAATATTAGGACGTTATCACTAACACAGAAATTCTCTATACCAATATTAGGACGTTATCACTAACATAGAAAGTCTCTATACCAATATTAGGATGTTATCACTAACACAGAAATGTTCTAAACCAATATTAGGACGTTATCACTAACATAGAAATTCTCTATACCAATATTAGGATGTTATCGATAACATAGAATATATCTATACCAATATTAGGACGTTATCACTAACATAGAAATTCTCTATACCAATATTAGGATGTTATCACTAACATAGAAATTCTCTATACCAATATTAGGACGGTATCACTAACACAGAAATTCTCTATACCAATATTAGGACGTTATCACTAACATAGAAATTCTCTATACCAATATTAGGATGTTATCACTAACACAGAAATGTTCTAAACCAATATTAGGACGTTATCACTAACATAGAAATTCTCTATACCAATATTAGGATGTTATCGATAACATAGAATATCTCTATACCAATATTAGGACGTTATCACTAACACAGAAATTCTCTATACCAATATTAGGACGTTATCACTAACATAGAAATTCTCTATACCAATATTAGGATGTTATCACTAACATAGAAATTCTCTATACCAATATTAGGACGGTATCACTAACATAGAAATTCTCTATACCAATATTAGGACGGTATCACTAACATAGAAATTCTCTATACCAATATTAGGACGGTATCACTAACATAGAAATTCTCTATACCAATATTAGGACGGTATCACTAACATAGAAATTCTCTATACCAATATTAGGACGGTATCACTAACATAGAAATTCTCTATACCAATATTAGGACGGTATCACTAACATAGAAATTCTCTATACCAATATTAGGACGGTATCACTAACATAGAAATTCTCTATACCAATATTAGGACGGTATCACTAACATAGAAATTCTCTATACCAATATTAGGACGGTATCACTAACATAGAAATTCTCTATACCAATATTAGGACGGTATCACTAACATAGAAATTCTCTATACCAATATTAGGACGGTATCACTAACATAGAAATTCTCTATACCAATATTAGGACGGTATCACTAACATAGAAATTCTCTATACCAATATTAGGACGGTATCACTAACATAGAAATTCTCTATACCAATATTAGGACGGTATCACTAACATAAAAATTCTCTATACCAATATTAGGACGGTATCACTAACATAGAAATTCTCTATACCAATATTAGGACGGTATCACTAACATAAAAATTCTCTATACCAATATTAGGACGGTATCACTAACATAGAAATTCTCTATACCAATATTAGGACGGTATCACTAACATAAAAATTCTCTATACCAATATTAGGACGGTATCACTAACATAGAAATTCTCTATACCAATATTAGGACGGTATCACTAACATAAAAATTCTCTATACCAATATTAGGACGGTATCACTAACATAGAAATTCTCTATACCAATATTAGGACGGTATCACTAACATAAAAATTCTCTATACCAATATTAGGACGGTATCACTAACATAGAAATTCTCTATACCAATATTAGGACGGTATCACTAACATAAAAATTCTCTATACCAATATTAGGACGGTATCACTAACATAAAAATTATCTATACCAATATTAGGACGGTATCACTAACATAAAAATTCTCTATACCAATATTAGGACGGTATCACTAACATAGAAATTCTCTATACCAATATTAGGACGGTATCACTAACATAAAAATTCTCTATACCAATATTAGGACGGTATCACTAACATAAAAATTCTCTATACCAATATTAGGACGGTATCACTAACATAAAAATTCTCTATACCAATATTAGGACGGTATCACTAACATAAAAATTCTCTATACCAATATTAGGACGGTATCACTAACATAAAAATTCTCTATACCAATATTAGGACGGTATCACTAACATAAAAATTCTCTATACCAATATTAGGACGGTATCACTAACATAAAAATTCTCTATACCAATATTAGGACGGTATCACTAACATAGAAATTCTCTATACCAATATTAGGACGGTATCACTAACATAAAAATTCTCTATACCAATATTAGGACGGTATCACTAACATAGAAATTCTCTATACCAATATTAGGACGGTATCACTAACATAAAAATTCTCTATACCAATATTAGGACGGTATCACTAACATAGAAATTATCTATACCAATATTAGGACGGTATCACTAACATAAAAATTCTCTATACCAATATTAGGACGGTATCACTAACATAGAAATTCTCTATACCAATATTAGGACGGTATCACTAACATAGAAATTCTCTATACCAATATTAGGACGGTATCACTAACATAAAAATTCTCTATACCAATATTAGGACGGTATCACTAACATAGAAATTCTCTATACCAATATTAGGACGGTATCACTAACATAAAAATTCTCTATACCAATATTAGGACGGTATCACTAACATAGAAATTCTCTATACCAATATTAGGACGGTATCACTAACATAAAAATTCTCTATACCAATATTAGGACGGTATCACTAACATAGAAATTCTCTATACCAATATTAGGACGGTATCACTAACATAAAAATTCTCTATACCAATATTAGGACGGTATCACTAACATAGAAATTCTCTATACCAATATTAGGACGGTATCACTAACATAAAAATTCTCTATACCAATATTAGGACGGTATCACTAACATAGAAATTCTCTATACCAATATTAGGACGGTATCACTAACATAAAAATTCTCTATACCAATATTAGGACGGTATCACTAACATAAAAATTATCTATACCAATATTAGGACGGTATCACTAACATAAAAAATATCTATCCCAATATTAGGACGGTATCACTAACATAAAAATTCTCTATACCAATATTAGGACGGTATCACTAACATAGAAATTCTCTATACCAATATTAGGACGGTATCACTAACATAAAAATTCTCTATACCAATATTAGGACGGTATCACTAACATAGAAATTCTCTATACCAATATTAGGACGGTATCACTAACATAAAAATTCTCTATACCAATATTAGGACGGTATCACTAACATAAAAATTCTCTATACCAATATTAGGACGGTATCACTAACATAAAAATTCTCTATACCAATATTAGGACGGTATCACTAACATAGAAATTCTCTATACCAATATTAGGACGGTATCACTAACATAAAAATTCTCTATACCAATATTAGGACGGTATCACTAACATAGAAATTCTCTATACCAATATTAGGACGGTATCACTAACATAAAAATTCTCTATACCAATATTAGGACGGTATCACTAACATAGAAATTCTCTATACCAATATTAGGACGGTATCACTAACATAAAAATTCTCTATACCAATATTAGGACGGTATCACTAACATAGAAATTCTCTATACCAATATTAGGACGGTATCACTAACATAAAAATTCTCTATACCAATATTAGGACGGTATCACTAACATAGAAATTATCTATACCAATATTAGGACGGTATCACTAACATAAAAATTCTCTATACCAATATTAGGACGGTATCACTAACATAGAAATTCTCTATACCAATATTAGGACGGTATCACTAACATAAAAATTCTCTATACCAATATTAGGACGGTATCACTAACATAGAAATTCTCTATACCAATATTAGGACGGTATCACTAACATAAAAATTCTCTATACCAATATTAGGACGGTATCACTAACATAGAAATTCTCTATACCAATATTAGGACGGTATCACTAACATAAAAATTCTCTATACCAATATTAGGACGGTATCACTAACATAGAAATTCTCTATACCAATATTAGGACGGTATCACTAACATAAAAATTCTCTATACCAATATTAGGACGGTATCACTAACATAGAAATTCTCTATACCAATATTAGGACGGTATCACTAACATAAAAATTCTCTATACCAATATTAGGACGGTATCACTAACATAGAAATTCTCTATACCAATATTAGGACGGTATCACTAACATAAAAATTCTCTATACCAATATTAGGACGGTATCACTAACATAGAAATTCTCTATACCAATATTAGGACGGTATCACTAACATAAAAATTCTCTATACCAATATTAGGACGGTATCACTAACATAGAAATTATCTATACCAATATTAGGACGGTATCACTAACATAAAAATTCTCTTTACCAATATTAGGACGGTATCACTAACATAGAAATTCTCTATACCAATACTAGGATGTTATCACTAACATAGAAATTCTCTATCCCAATATTAGGACGTTATCACTAACACAGAAATTCTCTATACCAATATTAGGACGTTATCACTTACATAGAAAGTCTCTATACCAATATTAGGATGTTATCACTAACACAGAAATGTTCTAAACCAATATTAGAACGTTATCACTAACATAGAAATTCTCTATACCAATATTAGAATGTTATCGATAACATAGAATATATCTATACCAATATTAGGACGTTATCACTAACATAGAAATTATCTATACCAATATTAGGACGGTATCACTTACATAAAAATTCTCTTTACCAATATTAGGACGGTATCACTAACATAGAAATTCTCTATACCAATATTAGGAGGTTATCACTAACAAAAAAAATATCTATACAAATATTAGGACGGTATCACTAACACAGAAATTATCTATACCAATATTAGGACGGTATCACTAACACAGAAATTATCTATACCAATATTAGGACGTTATGACTAACACAGAAATTCTCTATACCAATATTATGTCGGTATCACTAACACAGAAATTCTCTATCCCAATATTAGGACGGTATCACTAACATGGAAATTATCTATACCAATATTAGGATGTTATCACTAACATAGAAATTATCTATACCAATATTAGGACGGTATCACTAACACAGAATTCTCTATATGGACTGTATTTAGCCACACATCAGTACTAACTGAAGGTTCTACGTAACTCTATGGACTAAATTAAACGAAACATCGGTAATAAGTGAAAAGGAAAACGTAATACTGTTGATTTCGTTTCTCGACACAACAGTACTAGGAAATCAGGGTACACACAATGTTTAAATTTCCCAATTTGTAGCAAAATGACAGACCAATGTGAAGGGGTTCATACGCAATGGTTTGAGCAAATTCTAGCAATACGACAGACCTTAGTAAAGGGTATACGCAATGCTATTGGCAAATTTAAACAACATGACAGACCTAAGTGATTGTCAGATTTAAACAACATGACAGACCTAAGTGATTGTCAGATTTAAACAACATGACAGACCTAAGTGAAATGTAGCAACATGACAGACCTAAGTGATTGTCAGATTTAAACAACATGACAGACCTAAGTGATTGTCAGATTTAAACAACATGACAGACCTAAGTGATTGTCAGATTTAAACAACATGACAGACCTAAGTGAAGGGTAGCACCATGACAAACCTAAGTGATTGTCAGATTTAAACAACATGACAGACCTAAGTGATTGTCAGATTTATACAACATGACAGACCTAAGTGAAATGTAGCAACATGGCGAGGACTAAATGAACTGGTACACACGATTGCTGTCGACTACATGTAGCACTAGTGGCTGACTGTTAGAGGGTAGCACCGTGTCGATATATTGTTATCAGCATTGGAACCTGCTCACCGTATTATAGATTGTACGACACCATGGACCAACTGTTGTGCCTGTAAATTGTCTATTTCGCCGACTGAGAATCACAATGGCCATTTTCGAATGTGTTTTAATGAGAAATTTGTGATGCCAAAAAACATTATACCAAAATAGGTTTTAAATCAGCGACGAAATCGTCATTTACCACAAATTGAAGATAGCCACCGAATTGCATTCCCTACTTGAATGGTTGTTTATGTTATTTTTCAAGCATAAACATATAAATTGGTTTTAAATGGAATCATTTACTTGACTCCATCGCAACACAGGCATCGTGGTTGGGGAAATGTGGACAATTTTTACAATTCTATTATGTAAAATGACTGTTGTAAATCAATTTACATCGATATGTAAGTATAACTGTAGTGTGAAATTGTCCGTCTCAGTCGTCAATCATTCCTCTATTTTAAAAAACAATCCTACGGAGGATTGTGAGTATAGAGTATATCACCCACCACGTGGTCCGACTCCACATAAACCGTCTAAATCAGTCTAGTTGGCTGTAATTTAACACACACGTTATATAGGTAACTCGATCTGTACGTGATATATAACCGCGCAATAAAAGAAATTCCATGAAGACTCAATTTACGGATGTTTCATTCAATTTGAGATCTGTTAAATATCTGATATACATGGATGTGTAGATCCATCTGAGTTCAGACAACACCGCAGGAACTTGTCATTTCAACTTCCATTAACTGAAGTACGCGATCGGTCAGACTTTAAACTCATTTTATTCGTGTATGTGTTATGAGGTGACTTATGCAGGCCCCACTGCAGAATCGGGATTATGCTTTGGTGTCTTGGTTGAGGATGTTGAAGAGACGATAATTAAGCTGCTGACTTTATTGTCACACTTGAGATATGTCTTTTCTGTTGACTCTGTCAAACACTCTCCTTTAGTCGGTGTTCTTCCAGCCTCACTTCTTCATAATACCTTACAGCGGTTAAGAGGACGTGAAATCCCAAACATATAACGGTATTGTTTACCATGTATGAGTATATTTTGTTTACACCTGGTGGTAATCCACTTGCATCTCAGGAGTATTTCAGGTCCCTTAGATCCCAATATTGTGTGTGTTAAGACTCGCTATAACTAAGCCACGCCTAGGCGATATAGAGGTATTCATCAAAATGTCCTTATCGATAACAGGTTCCCTACTTAAAACAACTAAATATCAACGTCAGTGTTTCTGTTTTAATAATGACACAGACCAAACTGTACAAAGGTTTTTTTCGGAATTGTGATATATCCTAAAGAATCTGTCTAGAGATTTTTGAACAGTTATAAAACTTTACGTCACCAGTAGGTCTAGCTTTTAATTAGTCAATTTGCCATTCATATCGATTTTGTCTATGCCAATTATCTTGCGTAATCATATTTGCTCTTTCGACTGGAATCAGATGTTTAATTTAACCTTAAGTCCTTCTATCGATGTTGGAGTCTGTTTTCCCAATTTCTGAGAGTTAGTTATTTAACCCAGACGCTATCACTATTTTGGACTTAGGGACTTTATGTAAGCCTGACCTCATTAGGGACTTTATGTTACCCTGACCTCATTAGGGACTTTATGTTACCCTGACCTCATTATGGAATTTACGTTACCCTGGCCTCATTAGTGACTTTATGTTACCCTGACCTCATTAGGGACTTTATGTTACCCTGACCTCATTATGGAGTTTACGTTACCCTGGCCTCATTATGGACTTTAAGTTACCTGACCTCATTATGGAATTTATGTTACCCTGACCTCATTAGGGACTTTATGTTACCCTGACCTCATTATGGACTTTATGTTACCCTGACCTCATTATGGACTTCACGTTACCCTGGCCTCATTATGGACTTTAAGTTACCTGACCTCATTATGGAATTTATGTTACCCTGACCTCATTATGGACTTTAAGTTACCTTGACCTCATTATGGAGTTTATGTTACCCTGACCTCATTATTGACTGTATGTTACCCTGGCCTCATTATGGAATTTAAGTTACCCTGACCTCATTATGGACTTTATGTTACCCTGACCTCATTAGGGACTTTACGTTACCCTGACCTCATTATGGAATTTAAATTACCCTGACCTCATTATGGACTTTATGTTACCCTGACTTCATTAGGGACTTTGTTACCCTGACCTCATTAGGGACTTTATAATACCCTGACCTCATTGGGAGAAATGTTTTCTGGCGAGACAGGCTGTTTTTTGATAAGTGATACCTTAATTACCTTAATGACAGTTTCCAAAAATAACGAAACTTAACCAATTCGTGTTCCAGTATATTTCTGTTTTACTAACATAAAAAAAAAATACTACTGATGCAATTGTGACGTGACCTTTGACCTTTCTGACTTGTATCTATTTTTTTATATTTCAGTGCTGATGTGGGGTCATCGCTATCGTCAGTCAGTACGAATGTTATCGTCACGCCGGACGGCAATGTCACGTGGTTGTCCATGTGGATATTTAAGAGTTCGTGTTCGATGGATGTGCGATACTTCCCTTTCGACGTCCAGAATTGTAGTATGGAATTCGCTTCTTGGACTTTCGATAATATGAAGCTGAAAATGGTGAAAATGGGGGAGAACGGGGATCTAACTAATTATATCCCGAGTTCGGAGTGGGAGCTGATAATGTTTAGTTACAACCTACATCCCGTTAACTTCTCGTGCTGTCCCGTCCCGTATGACTTTATGAAATATTACATCGTGCTGAAGAGACGGCCATTATTCTACCTGTTTAACATGGTGATGCCGTGTATACTGATCACCCTGGTGGCCCTCCTGGGATTCTACATGCCCTCGGACTCGGGCGAGAAAATATCTATGGGGATTACCACGTTGCTGTCCATGACAGTCTTCTTGATGATCGTGGCTGAACGACTGCCTCCTGTGTCAGACGTGGTACCCCTCATAGGTAAGTTAAATTCCTCACATGTAAGCCACGTGAAATATATCCTAGGTAATCACGTGATACCCTCCTAGAAAAATTGTAAGTCACATGGTACTCTACACGGATGACGCAGTTTCGTTACCTTAGGATTATTACTCTGATCTTGTTAATTTATCCCCCCTCGTATGCGGAAGTACCTTACTTTAAGGAAGGTAGTGCTGAGGCATTAGTGCCTTGACTCTACTTTAAAAAGGGGGCCTTTATAAAATTTCCAAGAAGTGTCAGCTGACCTTAAAATAGGCTCCCCGGCCTCTTTTTTAATACCATATCGTGATGTTCCTGCGATAAAAAAATATCAACAAAACAGGAACGACAATTTTTGAGAAATAGAACTTAATTATGTAACGGATGCGTGCCTACAGTTCGTTACCAAGTTCTTTCTTGGACCCAGTAATTGTTGTAACAAACAAGTGCCGACAATATATACAAAATAACGGCCGTCTTTCTGACTCAAATAACTATTACCTAATCTACACCCGGTAGATATTTTACATTAATATACCTCTAACACTAATATAGTCAAAAAGCCAACTAAAACAACTGTATCACAATATATCCGTCACCCTGTATCAACAGTAAATAGCCCCTTACTGCGACACCCGTGACTGTGTACACCCTTTACCGCGACACACCTTGACCACGTCACCCTTTACCGCGACTGCCGTTTGACCAAGTCACCCTATAGCTAGCCACTATAAAACCTATGCCTTGGTAAACCCTGTGTCTTGGTACCTGACACCCTGTATCAACAGTACGTCGCCCTGTACTGTGATACCCTGTGACTATGCACACTATACTGTAACACAATTTATTTTGACCATGTACTATAAAGGAATACAGTGGAACCCTAGCTTATGCAGCTAGGCCCAAACTTATACAGCTTGGTCACTGATTACCTTTTTAGAGTTGTTCCTTCTTCTTCGACCGCCAGAGCAAGAGAAGCTTTTCATCTGATGGAACCTCTATTTATATACCTAGCCATCCAATGAAATGCCTTCTTTCATTAGCCAATCAAAACTACTCTTACTTCCTAATTACAAAGAAATAACTAAAGCAAGTCTATACTAACGATCATTTATTGAACAATGTAATTAACAAAGAATCAACCGCTTCATTACCCACGCCTCTGATTCAATGCGTCCCGCATTCACAGTAAGTAAAAGAGCAAATGTATATTTTTGTTTTGTTTTGTAAATGTCTTTGAATCACTCAGTCGAACCATTCTTCTTCCTCAACCTTGACAACAGACTTCCCATTCTCCGTGTACGATGTCGTTGTCTTTATGGTTCTCCTGTGGTTTGAAAAGTTCACCTGGACAGCTGCATCCACAAATGTCTTTACATTGCCTAACTGTGTCCCTGTATCTCTGGTCTGTAGTCCTGGTTCACGTACACTACCTGTGACGGATTTCACAGCAATACTCGAAACACGTGCAGAATCTTGTGGAATGTTAGGTCTCTTTGGTGTATATACAGGGTTCGGACGACAGGGTTTTCTCACAGTAATCATTTCTTCCATCTTAGATGTCTTAGATGCAGGTTCTGGATCGTCCTCAGATATTTCCCCTAGGATATCTAACACATTCCCTGGATCATGTTCATCCAACGAGTCTTCTCGTACTGGGTGCTTCCTCTCCTTGTGTCTCTTCAGACAAACATTCTTCTCCGTGACAAAGTTACACTCATTACACTCAAACTTCTTCTTTTCTCTTGCATTGGTTCCGCAGATCACCAAGTGCGCTTTCCACTCTTCATCTGATGGAAGTCTCTCGCAACACAGCGGACACACCAAACCTGGCTTTCTCGGAGTTGTTTTCACTTGTGGCATCTTCCTATAACACACAAAGATTCACATCTATCATTTTTTTTTTTTTTTTTTTACAGTACATATTCAGTCATCCAGACTGGTCTTCTTCTGACACGGCCTTTTGTGCTATCTGGAAGATCTACAATCTCGTTCACCTCGAACTCTGATCCATTTTGTATTTGGTCAACCTCGACATCTGTACGAGTCTCACTTTCACCTTTGAGAACCTGGGATTGGCATCTGCGCATCCTGTCAACATGAATAACATGTTCTTTCTTGTTTTCATCACTAACAACCTTGTAAATGACATTTGATACTTTTTCAACTACCTTGAAAGGACCTTGCCAAAAACTCATCAGCTTTGATGACCTGCCAACCTTCTTTTGAGGGAAAAACACATAGACCAACTCCCCCGTCTCGTAACTATCCCATTTTAGTTTCAGGTCATGGTAATGTTTCTGTCTCAACATCGCCCCTTCCAAGTTTTCTCTGGCTAACCTATGAGCCGAAACCAACCTCTCTCTAAGTTCCCAAGCCCATTGACTTTGCAAAACTGGTTTAGACTCGTTAGGGAGATCATAGAACAGATCAACTGGGGTAGAAACCTCTCTCCCTAACATAAGCATGTTTGGAGTAAACCCTGTACTTTCCTGTTCTGTTGACCGGTACGCCATCATAACGTAAGGTATGTGAACATCCCAGTCATCCTGACACTCATCAACATAGGCACAAAGCATGCTTGCAAGAGTCCGATTGAATCTTTCTACCATACCGTCCGATTTCGGGTGATATGGCGTAGTTCTCGTTTTCTTGGTGCCAAGCAAAAGACACATCTCTTGAAACAGTTTGCTTTCATATTGTCGCCCCTGATCCGAGTGTATGGCGTTTGGTACACCAAAACGAACAACAACCTCCTCCACGATGAGTGCAGCAACTGTACTGGCCTCCATATTTCGCATGGCAAAAGCTTCTGTCCACTTGGAAAAGTAATCACTTACTACCAAAATATATCTGTTTCCGTCCTTTGTTTCCGGTAATGGTCCGAGTATGTCAGACGCCAATCTTTCCATGGGATATCCTGTAGGCTCTATTTGCATAGGTGCTCGTCGTTTTGCACATTCTTTCCTACATACACAATGTTTGCACCCAGCAATATACTGTCGAACATCTCTTTGCAAGCCAGGCCAGTAGAACTTCTGTCTCACACGACTCAGTGTTTTGTGCACTCCTAGATGCCCACTAGTTCTTGTGTCATGACACATGTTCAGCATGGTTCGTCTTTCCTCATATGGTACAACTATTTGACTCTTTTTGTGTTTTGAAGGGTTTACCCAACGTCTGCACAGTAAACCGTTGTCAATAGTCAATTGATCCCATTGTGCAACAAGGGATTTTACCACATTGCTCAGAGGCTTTACCGAACCTGGATTTGGCTTTTTCCCGCTCTTTACCCATTCAGTTACTAATTTCAGATCGCTATCGGCCTCCTGCTTTTCTTTCAATGTACTTGTATCTTCATCTTGTTTGTCAATATTCACTTTTGGGTTACCATCCTTCTTGATCGTTCGTACAGGAAGTGGTCCCTCCCCTTGGTCACGTTCCCAATCTTCATAGAATCCACACTGGTGACAGGGAATCCTACTCATTGCGTCTGCGTTTCGGTGCAACTTCCCTGCTCTGTGCTGGATTTCTATATCATATGTTGAAATGACCTCGAGCCAACGAGCTAACTGTCCTTCTGGTTCTTTGAATCTCATTAGCCACTTGAGTGCACTATGGTCAGTTCTCACTATGCACTTATGTTTGTAGAGATATGGTCGATACTGCTTGATACAATATACCATTGCTAGTAACTCCTTCCGGGTTACGCAGTATTTCCTTTCTGACTTGGTAAGTGCTCTACTACTGTAAGATATCACGTTCTCCTTGCCATCAATACACTGGGACAAGACTCCACCAATAGCAAATTGACTCGCATCTGTGTCCAAGATGAATGGTTTGGTAAAATCAGGGTAGGCTAAGATTGGTGCTGTGATCAAACATTTCTTAAGCGTATCGAATGCAATTTGGCATCTGTCTGTCCAAGTGAAAGATGTTCCCTTCTCTGTCAGCTGGTGAAGTGGTTTTGCGATCTCGGCAAACCTGTGAATGAAACGTCTATAGTAGCTACAAAGTCCAATAAATGACCTCATATCTGTCTGCGTCACAGGCAGTGGCCATTCTTTCACTGCTTTCACCTTTTCTGGGTCTGTTGATATGCCATCTCCTGAAACAATGTAACCCAGGAATAACACTTGTTTTCTAAATAGATGACATTTCTTGGCCTTGAGTTTTAGTCCTGCCTGACGTAGTCTGTCGAACACTTTTTCCAAGTTGACTATTGCTTCATGAAACGTTTTCCCTAAAACAATGATGTCATCAATGTACACCAGGCATATTTCCCAATGAAGCTTAGCCAGCACTGTCTCCATCAGGCGTTCAAATGTCGCTGGACTGTTGCAAAGTCCAAACGGCATCACGTTGAAATGGTAAAACCCACTTCTGGTTACAAATGCAGTCTTTTGCTTATCTGCTTCGTCCATTTCAACCTGCCAGTATCCCGAAAATAAGTCCAGTGTTGAGAACCACTTTGCTCCCGACAATCTGTCCAGTGATTCATCTACCCGGGGCAATGGGTATGCGTCCTTTATCGTTACCTTGTTCAGGGCACGATAGTCCACACAGAACCTTAAACTGCCGTCTTTCTTCTGTACCAAGACTACGCCCGATGCCCACGGACTAGACGATGGTTCTATAATTCCTCTGTCTAACATACTTTGGACCTGCTGATTAACTTCCTCTGCTGCATGGTGTGGAAATCGCCTTGGGGGTTGTTTAATAGGCCTTGTATTCTGAGTATCTATTGTATGCTTCACCATACTCGTTCTTCCCAAATCATCGTCTGATTTGGCAAACAAATCCTGTGACCTCAATAAGAGTTGCTTGACCTGCTCTGCCTGCTCTGGAGCCAAGTCCTTTCTAACTTCATTGTAGAGTTGCACAAGATGTTCTGGTAAATCTTGATATTTAAAACAGCATGTATCATCAACCACGTCCTGGTCAAGTACTCTCTCAGCTGGACTGATTTGTCCAATGTGTGTAGCACGATACACTTTCAC